ACTTTTCCCATAATTTTTTATGCAACTGAACCCAGCCCCCACTATTTATTTTACAGCCCTATCTACAGCCCTAGTTACGTGATACGCCAGGACTCTGGTCCCAGCTTGATTCGGGTGGCCAGGACACTGCATATAGACATGTACTGCTTCACTTTCTGAGGAGTCATGAATTTTGCTAAATAACTGTGCATTAATCAGCATATATCCTCATTTCTGATCTCATCATGGAAGGAAGCTTAATGAAGGTGATGGTTTGGCCTAGGATACTACAGTAAGTACACCTGTGGTGCTGGCCTTGGACTGAAGTGAATGACTTCCAACAACCACAACCATCTTCCTTTGTCCTAGGCATGACTCCAACCAGTGGAGACTTTTCCCCAATTGACAATGACTTCAGTTTTGCTGGGGCTCCTTGATGTTTTATTAATACTGTACAGTAAAATGAAATACACTTGAAATATTAAAATATAGGCAGTAACTGAAATGACTGGATAACACTGGGAGTGTTTACCCAGATATCCTGCATTAAAATGATTTGGTGAGGTAAACACTAAGGATTAATGATTTTGTTCAAATTATTGCTGACAGACCAAATGTGGTCTATGAGCTCTGGCAAATTTTACAAATTATTCAGTTTCATTTGCTCTGACATTTCTTTTATGCTGAATTGCTTTAAATGAATTCTGTAGTCAAATGAGTTCAGAGAAGTCATAGGCCACTTGTCCTTCGCATCTGCTGCACCACTTGATGAGATCATGCATGATCTGATCACTCTATATTTCCACCCAGCCCTGATCATCCTTCACAGCCTTGTTTATCCAGAAGCTACCTCTGCCTGACTGCCTTTTGAAGAAGTTACAAAGACTCTCAACTCTCAAAAGATTCTTCCAGACCTGTGAATTAAACGTGTGGCCCCTTAGTGGCATCCAGTGCTAGATTCTCCCACAGAGGAAATATCCTTTTCACAACCACACTGTCAAGGCCCCTCAGCCTCTTCTATGTTTCAACAAGCGACCCCTTATTTTTCTAAATTCAAAGGGAAACAAGAGGAGTCTGTCCAAACATTCCTCATTAGACAATGTGCCTATTCCTGGGAACAGTTTAATAAATCTCTGAACTGCTTCTAATGCTTTTACTTTGTTCATTAAATATAGTGAATAATAATACCTAAAACTTTAGAAGATTATCTTCCATATTTCACTAGCTCATTAGTGAATAGATGTTCAAAGAATATGCCAAGATCCTACAGTTTCCAAGTTGTCAAAGTGTGCAAATTATAGGAACACTGGTGTTCAATATAGCTCCAGAGTAAGTGATTATTTCCAAAGCAGGGAGAAAGGTTGAACGCTACGTTCATAAATTTCATGGAAAAATGTTATGGCAGCTTGATGCAAAGACTATAGATCAGAATTACAGCTTTCAAGCTACAGAGGTGCTTAGCTCATCTAATACAGCAGTACTTGTAGAGACAGAAGCAAAGTGTACATTGATGTCTGTGACCTTTCACTTATTTCTCCCTCCACAGTTACTGCCAAACCTGTTGGGTATTTCCAGCACTTAAGGTTACTATTTCTGCAATATTTTGTTTTTGTCTCAAAAATAAATCATTCGCTCCACAGAACATACAGCATATGCCAGATGTTGGGGTGCAACTTTGTTTAACCTGGCTGTTGCTTTAAATCCACTGACCAGATGCCCCCTGCAGGAAAGTTGTAGAGATACATGCATAGATTTATTAGAGGCTGATATTAACGGATGTTCTGTAACTAACTAGCTTTAGGTCAAATATTAAAGTCAGAAGATCAAACAAGAAACTAATATCACTCTTTCCATTTTAATAAAAAAATCTTGATACTCAGAAGTTGAACATCTGAAGTATGGGGAGGCGATAGCCTAGTGGTATTGTCACTGGACTGTTAATCCAGAGACCCAGAGTGTTCTGGGGACCAGAGTTCGAATCCTGCTATAGTAGTTGGTGGAATTGGAATTTAATAAACATCTGGAATTAAGACTCTAACGATGACTACGAATCCATTGTCGATTGTCGGGAAAAATCCATCTGGTTCACTTAGGTCCTTTACGAAAGGAAACTGGTCTGGCCTACATGTGACTCCTGGTCCACAGCAATGTGGTTGACTCTTAAATGCCCTCTGGGCAATTGGCGACGGCCAATAAATGCTGCCTGGCCAGCAACACCCTCATCCCGTGAATGAATAAAGGAAAAAAATACAGGAACATCTGAAGTGTGACAGTCTCAAATAACACAAGAATATTGTATCTAAATTTTATTAAAATCACACACATGTAGCTTGTTGGAAACTTACCATGACAGACCATGGAAGTGATAGGATTTTAAAAAAAATCACCATATAACCTGCACGTTGATGATCTAATTCATGCTGCTGTGCAAGGTACAAACAGAAGCCAGGTGATTTGTCTGATAAAATATTGACTGATGCACCAATTGAGTTACACTTGTGTACCTCCTCGTGGCTGATTCTAAATCAACATCAG